TCATCTTCGCGCACCTGGGGTCGGCTTTCTCCCAGTAGCTGCCTATCCAAAGACGACCGCTGAACATGCTCAGGCTCGGTGTTACTTATGTGTTGGGAGGGCGGGTGGGAGTGAGCTAGACGGCTTGCGGGCGGGTGGGTAGCTTGATCCCTCCCCCTACCCCTCCCCTGGACCTGGACAAGGGGGTTCGCGGGTAGTTGGGGCGTCCAATATGGCCCAAGACGGCTCCAACAGCGCCCCAAAGAGCCCAAGATGACCTCCAAGATGGCTCAAGATAGCCCAAGATGGCTCAAGATGGCTTCCAAGATGCTCCAAGAGGCCCCAAGACAGCCCCAAGACGGCTCCAAGAGGCCCCCGAGACCCCGAAGGAGGCATCCAAGACGCCCAAATCTTTCAACTACCTCAGGAAAATCAGCGATGTTTGCATCGTCGCTCGTTTTCTGTCTATAGCCTTCCGAGGCCTCAAGATGGCTCCAAGATGGCCCAAGAGGGCCCTAAGAGAGGCCCAAGAGAGCCCCAAGACGGCCCCCAAAAGCGCTCCAAAAGCGCCCCGGGAACGCCCCAAGAGACGATTGTTGGGGCTCGCGGGCGAGTTCACGCTCCCCTATGTTGGACTGGTGTCCTCCAAGATGGCCACAAGAGCGCCCCTAAAGCTCCCAAGAGCGCCGCAAGAGGGCCACAGGAGTCGCCCAAACGGCCCCAAGAGGCGCCCAAGAGGCCTCCAAGAGGCTCCCAAGAGACCCCCAAGAAGCCTCAAGAGGATCCCCGAGGAACCCGAGACGTTCAAAGACGGCCCTGGCCCCGCCAAGATGCCCCCAAGACGCTCCAAGAGGCCTCCACTGGGGGACCCTTCCTCTGTGTGATGCCCACTTCCCTGATCGAGGCAACTCTTCTGGGCATCGTTGCTGGATGGGCTTGTGGGGTTACTTTTTAGTCAGCGGCCGCAGGCGAGCGCGCCAGCGGCGGGTCCAGTCAAAGCGGGGTACGCAACGACGAATTAACCTAAAGCGACGGTGCGCAACCACACCAAAAGCGGCAGGGCGGAGCCTCACGCAGCACCTCAGCGGCTGGCCGGCGAGCTTGTGGGGTTACGCGAAGCGTTTAGAACTTCAATGTTCATCTAATCGAGCAGGCCGCGGATTGCAAATGTGGGCGTTTTGGTCGAAACGACTCGCACTGCCCCGCGTCGAACGCCCCGAACTTTGAATTTGGGGCCGGGGTTGGGCCTGCTTCAACACGCATTAGAGATGGGCGTTTTTGCTAGAAAAACAATTTCAAGGATAATCCAGCTGGGACGATGCGTCCCCAGAACGAGCAACGATGCCGATAATACCTTTTCCTACCGTGACCTTTCCTTGATCACGCTGACTCCCATCCGCCGTAGTTTGATTGATTTCCCTATTCCAAACTGTGTCGGAAATGCATCCCGTAGGATGCAAAAAACAGGGCGGAGCTTTTCCCCTCAGAGAAGTGGGGCGCAAATGTGCGCCGTAGTTTTGTGGAAAGTCCCACAACTTTGTGGAACTTTCCACGTCCGCCAAGTAGGGCGGACATCCACAAAAGTAGGGGCGGAAACAGCAACGGAAAAGTGGACGGACATCGGCATCCAAGAAGCTTGAAAGAGCAGGGCGGGAATCTCCGCCCCACCTGCGAGATCGCCCAGAGTAGAGCGGATCCGAAGTCAGGGTAACAAACAAAAACCTGCACAACATAAACTTCCGGATGTCCGCGCGGATGTATTGGATCGGCGATGGAATTCCCTCCCTGGCGGCGACGGAGGCGCCGCCCGGGGGGTCCCAGCACCGACCCAAGACATCTGCGCGGAGCTCCGACATTTGATATTTGTGTCGGTTGTTATCCTTTCCTTATGTGTCTTCTCCTTAATATTCCTATTCCTCGTTGAATGCTATTACTAGTCTTCCTCTTCGTGTTCTTGTCATGAGTAGTCGTAGTAACCTTATTGGTTTGATTCGTACTGCTATTACTCGTATTAGCTCGATTCTACGTATTAATATCATCATTCGTATTGTTTGTACGACTAATGTCATGATTATTACGATTATGGTCATCATGCTTATCATTATTACTATGACTGGTATGATTCCCCTTCCTCTTCCTCTTCCTTCTATTTCTATGCCTGTTATGATTGTTCTCCGTCTTCTGCCTCCTCTGATGGGGGTCGGGGCGATGCTGGGAGCCTGCCGCGCGTTATGCCCGCCCCGCCCGCCCCGCCTCGTCTCGCGGTGCAGCCAGACCGCCGCCGGCCAGCGGGCGCACCTGCGACCGCCGCCGCTCGCCGCTCGGCCGCCCGCCAAGAAACACTTCGGCTACACGCAAGGGTGGCCCTTCTTTAAGATTAAGTCGGGCCTGCCCCCCTACAGGTGGATTCTGGACGAAAAACAGAAACATACCCAAACAAGATGCAAAATAATCAAGAATAATGAAAAAATCGTCCCCTGACAATTTCTTGACTATTTTTGAATATTCCCCCTGTAGAGGGACAGGCCCGACTTAAGGGTAAGAGTTGAGCAGGGCTGGGGGGTCTGGTCTGCAGAACACCCCAAACGGACGTCAAGGGGCGCAATCGACCTGTTCGGTCAAGTTGAAACTGATGCACCACAGTGGGCGTCAAGCCAAAACTTTGGACATAAGCGAACGGTTGGATGTTGCGCATCGTCGTCAGCTTAATCGGCAAGGCGTTGAGTCACCTCGACGTCCTTTCTTGCTGGCCCTGCAGAGAAAGGCACTCTCTGACCCTCGGCCCTGCTCAAGGTAAGCGTGACCTTTGGTGCGCGGCTTTTGGGGGGCCATCCTCCTCCTCCTTCTCCTCCTCCTCCTCCTCCTCCTCCTCCTCCTCCTCCTCCTCCTCCTCCTCCTCCTCCTCCTCCTCCTCCTCCTCCTCCTCCTCTCCTCCTCCTCCTCCTCCTCCTCCCCCCCCTCCTCCTCCTCCTCCTCCTCCTTCTCCTCTCTATCGTCCTCCGCCTCGGGGGGGGGAGCGGCAGAAACCCCTTCCTGAGATCCTGGAGGGGGGCCTAACACCAGCGCGCACGAGGCTCCTGCCACATCGCGCTCGGCGATCGGGGGACCCCGGTGCGCACGCACCAGTGGTCACTCTGGCGAAAGGCCACTCCTCCGTCCAGTCGGACATCGCCCTCCGCCGCTCGGCCGCCCGCTCCCAAACACCCCAGAGATCCAACGCATGGGAAAAAACCAAGACTCGGAGATCGGCCGCCACCCCAAACATCCCAGATTTCGTTTCTCGGCTTTAAAGGGGAAAATCAGGACGGAGGTTTTTTATAATTCTCGGCCTCTAGGGGCCCTCGCCGGGCCCCGGGACCGTCAAAAAACGGTTCGGGATGAAGAACGGGTCCGGGGGAATCGGTCGAGACTTCCGGGGGCCCCGCATCGGCAAAAAGAAACAAACGGCATCGGCTCCCTGAGATTGCGACACCACCTCGACGCGCAGTCCCCGCCCCTTACATCTCCATGTCGGTTGGGAGCGAGCAGGCCGAGTCCCGGTGGACAAAGTGATGCAGGTCACAGGTCAGCATTGAAATGCGGGGGGAGTCCCTCAGGGATCGATGGAATGTGAGCGTTTTCTTGCTCAGCGTTTCGACATTGGGCGGAAGGGGGGGGGGGTCTGGCTCCGGACCTCGGCTTAATGCGGCTGTTTGCAGCATGGGGGGGACTCCACCTGCTCGAAGCAGGCGCCAAAAACTGCCAAGATGGGGGGGGAGCGCGAGGGCCCGCGCCGATCGGCAAAACGATGAAATTGAAGACGATCACAGTCTGATCCCAGCTGGCACGCTGTGAAGACGATCACAGTCTGATCCCAGTTGGCACGCTGTTCCTCAGAACGCTCAAGTGACTTCCGAGCTCTTCTCCACCCGCCGCTGCTCCTCCGAGCCATAGCGCCACGATGCGCACCCCGGAGGCCTGGGCACTGCAGAATTCTTGCGCGCCAGGCGGCTCCGCCGGGTGCCAAGGCCCCGACGGCGGCCATCACGGCTCGATCTGGCCAGAGGAGTGCCGCAAGAGGGTGGGGCCCAGGGCCCCAGTCGCGATTGTTTTCGCTGCCGCGCCTTCTTCGCGATGTCGGATCTCAGGGGAGGTCTCGCTCCGACGGCCAGAACTTCATGGCGAATTCTGAATCCCACATTTGGCCGTCTGGGAGGCCTCTCGCCGCCACGGCTGAATGGGGCTCGAGACTGTGACCGGAACCCACTCCCGGGGGGCAGGTGCTTCGCCTGCGGACCCAGGAGCCCCCTCGCGTCGTGGCAAAAGTCGCGACGGACCGTCTTTCGCAGTGTTCGGCCTCTGGGGGCCCCCAGGCGTCGCAGCTACGACTCGGAACGAAGCGCGGGCCCCGGGTCAAGGCGCCGAGTCCTCCTCGTCCTCCTCGGCCTCGTCCTTGTCGACGTCGTTCTCCTCCTCCTACTCCTCCTGCTCCTCCTCCTCTCCCTCCTCCTCCTCCTCCTCCTCCTCCTCCTCCTCCTCCTCCTCTTACCTCTTACCTCTTACCTAGCTTAAGGGTTGAGTCCACATTGTGGAGCCCCCATTGAATTCAGTCTACCACCTCCACGGGATGCGCGAACTGCACGACAAAGAACCCAATCTGCTCCACGCCGGAACTCTGAACCTAAATACGCAACAATCTTCGCAGCTCGCTTCGACGCAAAGAAAACAATTGTTGCCACACGGGAGTCCCCGCACAACATACACCATGGCTGAATTCGATCTTCCTCTACGAGGTCGCTGGCCTCCTCCCAGCACAAATCGTGCCCCCCCCCGCACAGGACCTCCGTTGGCTAGCTCCACTATCCTGCAAGAACTCAGACTAAACCTCGACGGCCGCCACAGAAAGGCTAGGCATCGAAGGGGGCGTTGACGCCGATTCCGTGCCCTGGCTCGCTGGCTCCTATGGCTCGTGCTCCCCGGTGCCGTCTTTGTTCGCTTCGTTGCACTGTGCCAGCTTTATCTCGTCGCCATATGCATCATCGCCGGTGGACGAGCGGGTCTCCAAGGACTGATGCGCACGCACAACGGGTGCTGCGTTCGATGGACTCCCTCTCGCCACGGAGGCCGGGGTCAAACAACACCCTCGACCTCCGTCGCTACGAACTGAGCAGCTGCTCCCGTGACGAACACCGAAGCACCACTATTCCAGCAGAAAGGGCCAGGAACGTGTTCAACATGAAGCAATGACTCGAGACGGGGACCGTGTTGGGCGTGAGGTAACTCCTTACCGCCTGCGCAAGAAATCTTTACCCCAGGGGGCAGTGCATGCAGTGCAACATTGCGTCTAAGACAATCCTCGTGCTCAGGTCGAATGCCCTCAACCAGGTCGACAACGCAGGGGATTAACGCAACAACCCGATCGGCGACCGCAGCAGGCAAATCCAAAGCTATCGCGGTGGCCGCCAAGAGGTGGTCCAGCTTCCCTTTGAGCTCGTCCCTCTCGACGCCTAAGACGTTTCAGTGCGGCCTCCGCACTGATTTGAGCGGCTTCCCGAGCAGTTGCGCGTTCGGCACGCGAACGGTACCAAACACCACCATGGGCATCTTCCCGCGCCATGCTCGCGTGAGCCCAAAGCGCCGCTCCCCCCTCCCTCACGCCCGCCGCATTGCCCCGACAGGACGACGGGTGGGGGTCGCAGGGCACGCCGATGAAGAGTCCAGGAGCGGGGGGCCTACAGAAAGGCATGGGCCCTTCCCCCGAGTGGCCCAAGAGGCATCCGAGAGGACAAGGAGGCCCCCCGAGAGGCTTCCAAGAGGCTTCCCAGGAGACCCTGGCGCTGGTGGCCGCGGGATCGCCGAGCAGAGTGCGAATAGTTGTTCGCCCATAGCTCGAGCAGCACAACGATCTCGGGCTTCTCGATCCCCTGGACTAATGCTGCCGATGCTGCTGAGGATATTGGTACACATGAAACCTCTGCAGCTGCTCTAAATCTCGAGATTCGGTTCAGAAGCCGAACGCACGCACATAATACAGCCGAACACCATTCCGAGGCGCTCGTCGCCAACGTACCCGGCGGCGCGCGATCGCCGAGCCGACACTCGCCGCAACAGCACGCGGCGGCGATCGCCGCCGCCGCGGATCGCCGCCGTCGCCGTCGTCGCAGTCGCAGCCGCAGCCGTCGCCGCCGCGGTCGTCGCCGTCGCCGTCGCGGTCGTCGCGGTCACCGTCGTCGTCGTCGTCGTCATCGTCGTCGTCGTCGTCGTCGTCGTCGTCGTCGTCGTCGCCGCCACGATCGTCGCCGTCACAGTCGCAGTCGTCGTCGTCGTCGTCGTCGTCGCCGCCGCCGTCGTCGTCGCCGCCGCCGCCGCCGCCGCCGCAGCCGCCTTCCCCTTCGCCGCAGACGCCGTCAGTCGTCGTCGCCGCCGTCGCCGTCACCGTCGTCGTCGGTGGCGGCAAAGCTCTCCGTGGCGCCCATCGCCGCCGCCGATTGCCGAGCTTCGTCGACCCGCCTGGCGGCGATCGCCGCCGCCGATTGCCACTGCCGCTGCTTGGCAGTCGACGTCGTCGTCGCCACGGCCGTCGGCGGACCTCTCCGCGGCGCCGATCGCGGCGCTGAAACACGCCGCGTCGGGCCGCCCAGCCTGCGCGCGGAAACGTGCCAGCAGCAGCGCGGCGCAGCGCCACAGCGAGCTCCTGGCCGACGCGCGCGCGTGCGCACGCGCACCGCGCAGCCGCCGCGCGCAGCCGCCGCGCGCAGCCGCCGCAGCCGCCTCTGAGCTCGTCGCCGCCGCAGCCGCCCGCCGCCCTGGAGCCCGTCGCCGCCGCCGCACGCCGCCGCCAGCGCCGCCACCGCCGCGCCAATTCGTCGTCGTCGTCGTCGTCGTCGTCGTCGTCGTCGTCGTCGTCGTCGTCGTCGTCGTCGTTGTCGTTGTCGGTGCCGCCGCAGGCCACCAGAGGCATCCGGAGATGGCCGAACGCCTCCGAGGGCCTCGGAGGGCCACGCGAACACGCGCGATGGGTCTCCCGCCGCAGCTGCTGTTGGTCGTCGTCGCCGTCGCATGTCGCTTGTCGCCTGTCGCCAGTCGCCAGTCGCAAGTCGCCGTCGTGGTCGTCGTCGTCGTGTTCGTCGTCGACACCAGGTCGACACTCCAGGACAAGTATACACAACGATTTCCACGGTGGCGACGAGAAAACGTCAAACACTATACGGGGGGGTCCCAAAATCTGGTGGCCGACGCCCCGGACATTCAGTGTTACAAAAAAAACTGGCGGCGGTCGCGTGCAAAAGCCAAGGCGACAATGTAAACGCTAATGCGACGGACTCTGCGCACAATATGTGTACTACGTGGTACGAGCATGGAAAGATACCAATGTAGACAATCTATGCAGACGTGCTTACCTCGAGCGCATGCACGCGTGCAAACTTACCATATATATATATATCCATAAATAGATATACTTATATATTCATATATATACATATATAGATGATTTGGAAATCGCCGGACCGCAGAATACGAGCCTGAATGCGACGCCGCATTCCTCTTCAAAATTGTCCTCCGTCCTTGTCCGAAAACGCCCGCAATCGCGCCCAAAACCAAACGAAATCTTCAACCCACGAGCGCACACCTAAAACAGAACGAAACATATTTCCAGACATTTTCCGGTAATATCCCGCTTCGCAGTCGCTTGCCCCCCTGGGCCTGAGCTCTTCATGCAAAAAAGGCAACCGCGCAACCGCGACAAGTTACTCAACAAAATTCTGCTAGAAATCCCCCCAGGCCCCAGCCCCCCACACAGAAGGAACAACCGCGCAACCGCTACGAACTGCGCGACAAAATTCTGCTCCGAACCGCCCCTGGCCCGACCCCCCCACACGAAGGGAGCAAACGCGCAACCAGGACGAGGCCTTTGGCCGACGACCCAGGCGCGGTGGCGGGGTGGGCTGAAGGCAATTTGACAAACAACCGATGATCCTCTCGCATGTCGGCGGCAAGCGAGCTCGGCTGGAGATCCCGCTGCAAACTCGCGGCGGCGGCGGCGGTCCTCAACTCCAGGTGCACTTCGCAAAACACGGATTCGGCGACGGCGGCCCGCCCAGAGACTGGGGGGCGTAGGGGCTCAGTAGATCTGGTGATCGTCGTCGCCGCCGCCGCCACCGCCGCCGTTGCCATCGTCGTCGTCGTCGTCGTCATCGTCGTCGTCGTCGTTGTTGGCGGCGGCAGCTCCGGCCCCGAGGCCTCTGGAGAACTCTGGAGGCCTCTGGAGACCGCCGAACGCCTCCGAGGGCCTCAGAGGGCCACGCGCGCACGCGCGAGGTGTCTCCTGCCGCAGCTGCTGATGGCCGTCGTCGCCGTCGCATGTCGCCTGTCGCCTGTCGCCAGTCGCCAGTCGCAAGTCGCCGTCGTCGTCATCGTCGTCGTTGTGGTCGTGGTCGTGGTCGCGGTCGTGGTCGTGGTCGTGGTCGTGGTCGTGGTCGTGGTCGCGGTCGTGGTCGTCGTCGTCGGCGTCGTCGTCGTCGTCGTCTTCGTGGTCGTCGGGGTTTCCTGCCGCAACTGCTGATGGCCGCGGAGCAGCAATGGGCCGTCAGCTCCACCGCCGCGGCGCCCATGCGGTCCAGAAGGTGCGCGGCCCACCTGGGGCCACCAAGCCGCGGGGGAGGGCAACCGCGACTTCGGCCTCGGGGGGGGGGTCCTGGGGACCCATGGTAGGGAGAAGGAAACGCACCAGCACCACCACCTGGAGGATGGAGGCATAGGGTGGTCAGGGGTGGTGGTGATGGTGGTGGTGGTGGTGGAGGAGGTGGTGGTGAGCTCCACTGACGGCCTCAGTGCTACCGCCCGCATGCGTCCCCCCCACCCATTGCAGCGCTTCGTGGCCCCATAAGGAGCTTCACCGAAGGTCCCAATGCTACCGCCCGCATGCGTCCCTCCACCCAGTACAGCGTTTCGTGGTCCTGTAGGGAGCTCCACTGACGGCCCCAGTGCTACCGCCCGCATGCGTCCCCCCACCCATTGCAACGTTTCGTGGCCCCATCGGGAGCTCCAACGAAGGCCCCAGTGCCACCGTCCGCATGCGTCCCCCCCACCCAGTGCAGCGCTTCATGGCCCCATAAGGAGCTCCACCGATGGCCACTGTGCTACCGCCCGCATGCGTTCCCCCCCCCCTACCCAGTGCAGCGCTTCGTGGGTGGCCCCATAGGGAGCTTCACCGAATAACAGATTCAGAATTGCGGTACCCACAGCTGCATATGGTTGAGCTTCGCAGATTGAGGGCGGGTCGTTTCAAAATGTGGCCCTCGCCTTCGTGCTGCTCACCATTCGTTTTCATATTTGCAAGAGCTTCACGGATGGAGGGCGGTTCCTTTCCAAACTGTGGCTCTCGCCTAAGCGCCGCGCACATTCGCTTTAAACAGTTGCAAGAGTTTGACACATGCTCGTGGTTGGCGTACCAAAAATTGTGGTCTGGAGCGGCCCTCCTCCTCCTCCTCCTCCTCCTCCTCCTCCTCCTCCTCCTCACCTCTTCGTTTGTCCTCCCACGCCTCCTACCCTCCTCTTCTCCCTGCTCCCTTCTCCCTCCTCCCTGCTCCTCCTGCTTCCTGCCTCGTCTCGCTGGTCCTCCCCCCTACCTCCTGCCTCCTGCCTCCTCCCTCCTCCCTCTCTCCTCCCTCTTCCCTCCTCCTCCTCCTCCTCCTCCTCCTGCTCCTTCCTCCCTCCGCCTCCTCCTCCTCCTCCGCCTCCTCCGCCTCCTCCTCCTCCTCCTGCTCCTTCCTCCCTCTTGCCTCTTCTCTCCTCCCCGCATCCATCCTCGCTCCTCCCTCCTCGCTTCTCCCTCCTTGCTCCGCCCTCCTCCTCCCTCGTCTCTCTACTCGGCACGCGGCAAAGCCTGCAGGGCGGAAAATGAAACTATTCCACTCTACTCGCCACGTGGCAAACGCCTGGGGGGGGGGGGGGGCGAAATGTATGCTGCATTCTCCTCGCGGTGTGGCAACGCCTGCTGGACGGAAAGCACTGCCATTCCACTCGAACTCTCAGGTGGAAGCGACATGGGGAGCGAAACAAACATTGCAGACACACTTGGTTGCACAGGACACGCGGCAGGACACGAGACTGCCCGACGGCAACATGCCCCCCCCCCCAGACCACAGGGCACAAAGGTGCCCTGCCGAGACCCCGACCGCGGTCAACCGGGCCTCCCAAGAGCGTGCGAACATGACGACAACTCCGAACTCGTCAGCACGCGGGGAAGGCGAGCTCCCGCGTGAATCCGCGAAGCGCGCGCCTCCACTGCAGCTCCCAGGAGCCTGCCAAAGCGAAGCCAATGTACAGGACAGCAGGGTACCCTTTGCGCGCCCTGCGACCTCTGCCCGCACGCGACGATACATGAACTTGCAGGGCTGGGCAAGTGCAGGACACGAGAGTACCCTGCTGCGCGGGGGCGACCTCGAGTCAGCGAGTCGTTGGTTCATTGGCGGCGCGGCCGCGCTTAGAAGACACCGCTGAGTGTGCCATTCGCCGGCGGCGCCGGCGGCGCAGAGCTAAAATCATAATCTCACATCGAAGCGACAAGGATCGACCTAAACAGTGTTTGTTGTTTTCGTGTTGTTTTCGTTTTCCCTGTCTTCGTTCTGTCTTCAATCCGCCTTCGCTGCAAAACGAAATCGAAACAAAAACGGCCCACGAAATCGCCAAAACACCATTTAGGTCGACCCCTGCAAAGCGACGTGAACCCCCAAATCTGAGAGGACAAGGATACGGTTGAAGGTAAATACTGTGCATCAGCAGCGCTCCGACGACAAAGAACCGACCTGACCCCCCTCCACCCCCTGGCCTCAATATTGTAATGCGTTGCGATCTAGATCTTGGGTTCATTTTTGTTCGCGGCCACTCATCTCCGGGACCAACTACTCAATCTCGAGGCCCGGGGGGGTGCCAGGGGGGTGGACTCGAGGTGGCCCCCCAGCTCTCGATGCCACGCTTCTCCCTCCAACGGTACCCTGGACGAGGGCCGCGACCTCCCCACGGCGCGCACGCCCAGAGCGGCCGCGGTCCGAGCGGCCGACGCCCGCGGGAACATCACAGGACACACGGCTGCGCCCTTGCCCGAGGGATGCCGAGGGCACGACGCGCGATGCACGGGGCGCGAGAGTATCTTTTTTGGGGGGCAGGCCCGACCTACGGTTGAGGGAAAAGATTAAGCACCCCTCCCCCCTCCCCCCGCAACTCAAAGTTGGCACGTGTACGCATCACTTGTCCGACACTGAAGCTCGGGAGATCCGAGCCCAACATTGCATTCGGGGGGAGGGGGGGAGTTCACACCATATGTCATGCGTGAGTGTTGCTTAATTGTTTCGGACACCTGTGCTAATCAAGTACGACTGTGCTCCGCTCCGCGACCCGCCACGTGGCATTGCCTGCGAGGCGGAACGCCACGTGCCAGCGCCTTCGGAGCGAAACAGAGTTCTTGCTCCACTCGGCACATGGCAACGAAGCGAGGCGGTAACACATGCTACTCTAATCTGCACGACACACATGGCAACGCCACGCGGCAATCCCTGAGAGGCACACAACAATACGATCCGCTCCACTCGCCACGTGGCAGTGGCATGGTGGACGAGCAAGATGTACACCTCCGCCCTACTCATCACGTGACATCGCCGCGCGGACCGAACATACACAAATCTCGCTCTACTCGCCACGTGGCAACGCCTAGGAAGCGAAACATACATCTTCTATTTGATTCGCGACGTGGCAACGCCGCGGGGCGGAAACACGTACACCGCCACTCCACTTGCAACAGGGCAGCGACAGGCCGGCAAACACCGAAGAAAACACCAAAACAACCGCCCCAAACCGCTGAAACCACAAACCAAACGGACCACGCTAAGGTACGCGATGGTCAGCACCACTCGCCGACGCGCTAGCCAGAACCCGATAAGCCGAACAAATCCACGCGCGGCCTTTTAACCGCCCTACTACACTTTCCGTTGCCCTCGTGGGTCTCATCGTCCTACCTCCCCCTACGTCCACCAGCCTCGTCCAGCTGCACCCTGGCTCGTCCTACCTCCTCGTCCCTGTTAACATGTCCTGCCCCCTCCCACTCCTCCTCCCTCCTCCTGCCGCCTACTACCTCGTCCTGCCTCCTTCGAAATTATGTCCAGCTTGTCGGATCTCGTCCCTCCTGGAATTTCGGGCTTGGGCTTCCTGATTTTCTGGGTTTCGCCCCTGTCGGGATTTCGGGTTTGGCCCTGCCCGTTTTCCGGTTTCGGGGGGGATTTCCGGGTTCAACCTTCCTCCTTTTTTTCGCTGCCCCCAGCACACGTAAAGAACTTGATAATGCGATTGGTTACGACGGGTTGCCAAGGCGAAAACTTTACGAACACGCCGCAATGATGTGAAGGAGCAAATCTTCCCAGTCTATTGTAGGATGGACTGCTGGGGCAATCCGCAAAAACTTAACTGTACTACGCTACACGAAGTCACGACAAGAAACCGCGGGCCACGACAACACGCCAAAACCAGGGACCGCGGCCCACGAATTAAACGGTGGAGGTTTTAGATAAGGCGACCTTCGATCAGGAACCCAAGGTTTCGCGACCGATGGGCGGCCAAACGTGGGCCACCCACCTCGCCTTGAAACGACAAGGAATGCGCCAGGGTCTGGGTCCCAAGAAAACGTTCCGTATCCAACGCCGCTGCCGTACGATGATGCACGATACGATTTTTTACGCCCTGCCACCACGACCAGAAGGACCTCGAGCCACGACCAAAGAAACCACCGCGGGCCACGACAGGAGACCACCACGGGCCACGAACCAGAGACCACGGGCCACGACCAGAAAGACCACGGGCCTTGGATTCCAACGTGGGTCTGTTATTAAAGAGAGAGGATCATGCAACAGACGTTGAAGCACAGATTATGCTTATCTGTGCAGATGCGGTCTGGCAAAGCGGGGCGGCACCAGCGCGACGCCGAGAAGCGTCGTGGACTCGAGTCTATGGCCTGGAAACACGCCGCGCACGACGACCCAGACCATGAAGATCTGCAGCCGGTCACTGTGTTGTGGGGGCCTGCACGGACGCGCAGAACACTGATCAGCTAAGCGTGAGCTGGCGCCCGCCTCATCCTCGTGCCCCATCCCCCGCCTCCTCCCAATATCCCTTCGCTTTGGTCCCACCCTCGTCATGCCTCTCCGACTACCCCCAGTTCTCATCATGCCCCCCATCCGCACGGCCATATGCCCGTTCATGTCGTTCCTCGTCGTCCTCCTCCGCCGGATGAGTTCCCCCATCGTCCACACGCACGCCCTCCTCCCATCCTCTACGCCCTAATGCAGCTCATCCCCCCTCCTTTCGTGCTGCTGACACCGATGATGCAGCTCCTCCTGGGCACATTTCCTCCCCTCTTGTCCTGTCCCTTTCATCCCCGGCCCCTTCGCCACCCCTCCTATCGAACCCCTTCCCTCCCATAGCCCACCATCCCCACCCCCCCCGCGCATGCACTCCCAGACCACTGCCCCCTCCTGGACCAGCCGGGGTAAGCCGCGGACGCTCCCATCCAGTGACCACTCCAGCGAGCGGTGCGCAACACATGCGCAGACCGCGTACGACGCCCCCCCTTGGACCAACCGAAAAGGGAAACGTGACAGTTCCCGCCCAGTCAACACCACCCGCGAGGGGCACACTCCAAATACACAGATTGGAACAAGATCTGTGTACACAGATCACACCACGATCTGTGTAAACAGTGCACCGACCAGAGAGACCACGGTTTTGCGATCCAGCGACGTGGTTGGCGCCTTCTTTTTCGCCTCCTCCTCCTCCTCCTCCTCCTCCTTCTCCTCCGCCTCCGCCTCCGCCTCCTCCTCCTCCTCCTCCTCCTCCTCCTCCTCCTCCTCCTCCTCCTCCTCCTCCTCCTCCTCTATCCTCCTCCTCTATCTCCCCTCCTCCTCTCTTCTTCTTCTTCTTCGTCTTCTTCTTCTTCTTCCTCCTCCTCCTCCTCCTCCTCCTCCTCCTCCTCCCCTCCTCCTCCTCCTCCTCCTCCTCCTCCTCCTCCTCCTCCTCCTCCTCCGCCTCCTCCTCCCTCCTCCTCCCTCCTCCGCCCTCCCTCCTCCCTCCTCCTCCTCCTCCTCCTTCTCCTCCTCCTCCTCCTCCTCCGCCTCCGCCTCCGCCTTCGCCTCCGCCTCCTCCTCCTCCTCCTCCTTCTCCTCCTCCTCTCGACGGCTTCGTGGCCGGTCCTCCTCCTCGACCTCGGGCCACGACCAGAAAAAAAAAACACCACGGGCCACGACCAGAAACCACCAAGGGCCACGACCGCAGACCACCACGGGCCACGACCAGAGACCATGTGCCACGACCAGGGAGACCACGACCACGGCTCTGCGATCCAGCGACGTGGTCCGCGCCATCTTCGCCTCCTCCTCCTCCTCTCCTCCTCCTCCTCCTCCTCCTCCTCCTCCTCCTCCTCCTCCTCCTCCTCCTCCCCTTCCTTCTCCTCCTCCTCCCCCTCCTCCTCCTCCTCCTCCTCCTCCTCCTCCTCTATCTCCTCCTCTATCTCCTCCTCCTCCTCCTCGTCTTCTTCTTTTCTTCTTCTTCTTCGTCTTCTTCTTCTCTTCCTCTCCTCCTCCTCCTCCTCCTCCTCCTCCTCCTCCTCCTCCTCCTCCTCCTCCTCCTCCTCCTCCTCCTCCTCCTCCTCCTCCTCCTCCTCCTCCTCCTCCTCCTCCTCCTCCTCCTCCCCTCCTCCTCCTCCTCTCCTCCTCCTCCTCCTCCTCCTCCTCCTCCTCCCTCCTCCTCCTCCTCCTCCTCCTCCTCCTCCTCCTCCTCCTCCTCCTCCTCCTCCTCCTCCTCCTCCTCCTCCTCCTCCTCCTCCTCCTCCTCTTTTCCTCCTCATCGCGGCTCGACGTGGTCGGCGCCCCCTTCTTCGCCGTCGAAGCCGTTGCCGCCGCCGCGCGCAGCTGGCGCCGGCGCTGTGGGCGGCCGCCTCCACTGCGAGGCGCCCTCGCAGGCGCCCACCGCTGCAGCGCACAGGGCAGGGCTCCACGCCTCGGCTTCGTCGCGGGCCACGCCGCGGCCGCCGCCGCTGCGTGCAGGACGCCACACCCGCCGCCCGCCGCCAGCTTCGCTCGTTCCGCCGCCGCCGGCCGTCGACGTCGCTGTCGCCGTCGTCGGCGCTGCCGCGCTGCCGCTCGTCGTCGCCGTCGGCATATGTCGGCATCGTATATCGCCGCCGCAGCCGTCGTCGCGTTGCCCCGCCCTGCCCCCGCCTTTCGCGCGCGCCACCAACGTGTGCATGGTGGGGGCGGCGCTGTGGGGGGGGAGCGCACCGGTCTCGGACTTGCTCCCAGGCCTCCGACCCCCTGGCGCATCCAATGCTGGATTTTTTCTCTGCCAATGTCAGGATCAATTCCTGTCCAGTCCCGTGGTTCGGGGGCGATCCCGGGGAGTGGCGCATGCGGGAAAGCGGCCCCCATGCGCCGACGAGCGCGCCCCTGACGGCTGCACCGAGTCGCCGCCGCACTGGCGGCCCGCTCGGCGTGGTGGGCCTCTTCGCCGTCGTCGGGTCGTCGCCGCCGACGCCGCCGTCGTCGTCGCCGCCGCCGTCGCAGTCGCCGCCTCCGTCGCAGCCGCCGCCGTCGCCGCCGTCGGAGGCCTGCTCAGCAAGTGCGCCCCCGGCGGCCGCACACGACGGAGGACGCGGGCCCGCGGCCGACCCGCGGACCCCTGGGCCGACAGGAGCCCATCGGCCCTTGCGCCTGGCGGTCGCGCTCAGCTCGGCCCGGCCGACGGCTGGCCGCTGGTCGGTCGGCCCCGCTCAGCGGCCGCCGTGCGTCGGACCAGCTGCGGGCCGACCGCGCAGCGGCGAAGCCGACGCCGCCGAGGGCCGCCGAAGGCCGCCGAGGGCAAGCTGCCGAACGCAGCCAAGAAAGCCGCCCTGCCAGAGCCCGCCGATCGGGCGGAGGACGCCGGCGGCGAGCCACAGGCCGCCCGGGGCAGCCCTCTCGGCCCCGCGCGCGCGGGGGGCCGAGCAGCCGCAGGCACCAGCCCCACTGCGAGCCTGCGGGCGCGACGCGCGACGAGGGAGCGCGCGCGTGGGCGAGCGGGCGGCCGGACGAGCGAGCGAACGACCACTGCTGCTGCGGGCGGCGCCCAGACCTGGCCAAAGGCCAGGCGGACGAGGCGGTGGCGGCGGCGGCGGGCGGCCTGGGCGGCGCGCAGCGGCGAAGGCGGCGCGCGGCGGGCGGTGCAGGCGGCGAGCAGCGGCAGGCGAAGGCGGCGGCGGGCGGCAGCGGGCGGCAGCGGCCGCGGCCGCGGGGGTGCGGCGGCGGTGCGGCGGCGGGGCGGGGTGGCCTGCGGCGAGGGCGACGGCAGCAGCGAAGGCGGCGGCGCGTGGCTGGCGGGCGGGCGGGCGGACGGCGCCGGCCAGGGGTGGCGCGGCGCCTCGCCGGTCGCGCTCGGTCGAGCTGGGGCTCGGGCTTATTTTTGTTTGTCAGCTGGGGCTGGGGCCCACCCAGAGAGTGGGACAGCTTCAAGGGGTGAAGTCCGACGTCCGTTCTGTAAGCTGACGCATTCCATTCTGGGGATCTTCCCATCCCTGATGGAGACTTGAGCCAGGGAGTGAAAGTGTTCGATCCTCCGCATAGCTCCAGCGCCACGACACCAACGAAAACAATGAATATGCTGTATGCTTTTCCGCGATTTCGGCCTCAGACTAGACGAATAACACAGACTAGACGAATAACTGGTCCTGGGGATGGAGTCGAGATCGACGGGGCTCACGCCGTGAAAAATCACGACGCCGGAGGTTTGTCAATTTCGGATTAAGCTGAGACTCGAATCGAAAACTACTTGTGATACATGCTTGGGCCAATCAAATCAAGCACGCGATAGACCATGGAGAGGTCTTTGGAATCATCGTCCTCCCCCTGCCCTCTCTTGTCCTCTCTATGACTAAATATTTTCCACATTACCCTCCCCATTACCCTCACCGATCCCTCCGACTCGTGCTACAATAAGGAGCGTTAATAAGGAAATCAGCCCGCGGCGAGCCCCGAACACGAATCGGCTCCCCGATCCAGATCTAAAAAATGACCCGAAAACCAGGGCCCCTTCCGAGTCCAGAGTGGTCCAGAAATCAGCGTCTCGACTGTATTCTCCCTTCTTCCCTCTCCCTGCTACCCTCACGCCCACTCCCCTAAGAAGAAGACGACTAAGACGGAGAAGAAAACGAATAATAAGACAATAAGAAGAAACAAATGCATAAACATAAGCTTTGGGACCCCCCCCCTCACTGGCGCGCGGAGCGCGCCAGGGGCGGCGCAGGAGGCGCCGGCAGGGGACCCCCAACGCCGCTCCAAGAAATCCGCACGGAGCTCCTAAAGACTATGCTTATGCAGTTTGTGTCTTCGTCGATCCCCGCAGGCGTCGCCGCCGCAAGGGCCTACGCGCTGCCTTCCTACAGGCCTACCGTAGGCCACTGCGAAGGCTGCGCGCAGGCCTGTAGTGGGCCTGAAGGTAGGCTGTGCACAGGCCTGGAGTAGGCCTAGGATTAGGCTTACATCCCCACGACGAGGGTTTGAAGTCTTGATTCGACGCGTATGAGATAACCGTCGTCGGATCCCATGAAGGTCGAGCGGATCCAATTGTGGTTTTGGTTGTTGTTTCGGTGGATCCGATTTCCGTCCGCACGGATCCGATTTCGGATTGAACCCGTCCAGACGCCGTCCGTTCGGCGGCGCCGATGTTACCCGTCGAACTCATCATCGCTATTTCCACCTCAAGAGGAAAATCATTCGTCCTGCGTAAGCATGCTGCCCCCATCGTACTTAAGGACCACATATCAAAAATCATTGCGAGCACCCAGAAAAGTCTCGAAGCAGTGTCGAACGAGCATCGCCTCCTGGGGCCCGACACGTGACAAACCCTCCAGTCTCGGTACTCTGCTGGTGCTCGACAAACTTGCTCAGGTGATCAAGGCTAAAGTTGGTTGGAACATCAGAAGTTTGGGCAGGCTCTGCATGGGCCCACTGAAGCCGACACCAAGCTGTGCACAGGCAATCGTCTGGATTGAGCAATTCCGCAGGCCGCTGTCGCGCGGCGCCGCCGTCGTCGCTCGAGCCCCCCCCGCGCGCGAGCGACGACTACGACGTCTACCGCCTCGTCGACGACGACGACGACGACGACGACGACGACGACGACGACGACGACGACGATGACGACGACGACTCCCCGAGCGCCGCCGCCTCTCGAGGCCGCCGCGAGCGCCGCCGCGAGCCCGCCCGGCGGCGGGGCGGCGGCGCCCGCGGGCCCCGCCGGGCGGGCGAGGAGCTGCTCCTCCGGCGGCGGGCGGAGCGCGGCCGCACCCAGGGGCTGCTAGGCGGCGGCGGCGGCTGCGACGAGGACGACGACGATGACGGACGACGACGACGACGACGACGACGACGACGCCGCCGCCGCTCCCAACGCACTGAAACAAACCGTAAGACGGGGGCGCGTCGTAGCTTTCTTACGCAGAAGGCATCTGTAGATCTGTATATCTGTATATATGTACGTATGTATATATGTGTATATGTACATATATGTACATATATGTATATATATATATATATATATATGTGTATACCACCACGCTTCCTGGCCAAGGCCATCCTGGGCTCTGGCATGGTGTATGCGCCTCCAGGCCGAGATTCAGAAGCGCTTGCATACCGTCGTGGAGCCCAGGGCGGCCCTGGCCGGGCACGGTGGTGGTGCGTACGGATGGCATCGGCGGGATTTCGGTGAGTGTCGTGGTGCTCCAAAAAGCCCCAGACTCTGGGCTGCTTCGCAATTTTCTGCGTCCGGGGTCCCTCGCTGGGCCCCCGGACCGCGACAGAAAGATCCGGGCGAAGAACGGGTTCCCGGAAGTGATCCAGAGCTCTGGGGACATCGTGCTGGGCAGCGACGGGAAGTGGTCCGGAGCTCCAAGGCGTCAGAGGTCTGGGCAGCGACGGTCGAAAAGATCTGCGATCAGGAACTGTTGCTCAGCGTGTCGCGGCTGCGGCCACTGCGACATGCAATGCCCTGCAAGGCAACAGCGAGCCGTACCGCTTCGCGGGGCGGGAGGCTGGGAAGAGCTCGGGACGTTGACGCTGTAGGACCAGGACGTGGCTAGCGTGTCGCGCCGAAGCGTGGTGGGCCAAAACTGGCAGAGCGACACGCTACGCAAACGTTCCTGACCGCACGTCGGAGGTCGAACCTCCACGCTGGAGAGAAAAAACCCAGAACGGAGGCACAAGGCATGCATAGGAGAACACAAGACGGCATAAACATAATTTCTCGGAGGTCCGCGCAGAGCTCTCGGATCGGCGCTGTACCCCCCTCCCTGGCGCGCGGTGCCCGCCAGGGGCGGCGCCAGAGGCGCCACCAGAGGGCCCCATCGCCGATCCAAGAAATCCGCGCAGAGCTCCGAGAAATAATGTTTATATACAACTCAAGTGTATATGCACTTGATACGTACATCTATTCAATTTGTGTATATAAACACAGAAGGTGTATACAATCGTTCATATATAGTAATATACATCTACATGTCCAGCAACCAAAAAATGTTTGTTGTTGGAGTGCAGAGAAGGGGGGTCGAGCCTCCGTTTCGAGGGTTTGTGGCCCCCAGGGAACGACGACGGCGAGGCCGTCGACGACGGCGGCGGAGCCATCGCGCGGTCGCGGACGCCGCGCGGCATCGGCGGCGGCGGCGGTGACGAGGGCGCCCAGCCCAGCGGGGGAGGGGTGCTGCCAAAGGGGCCCAGGGACACACACACACACACAAATAAAGCCATCAAGAAATAGGATGTTCCCCAGCTGTTTTCACACAGTTTCGGGGTCTTCATCTCCCCCCCCCACTGCCAAGCTTTTCCCATCGTTTCCTGCTGGGAGTCGACGATGAATTCGAATTGTGCCTGCGTGTTTCCCCCCCCTCCTGAGCTGCTCCCTGCAGGAGCTGCGGCCGCCCAGGCAGGATGCCGTCGGGAACGCTTTTGTTCTCGGCGCGTCGCGGCGCCTCGGCCCCG